TTGCGCATTCTACATCTCGGAACAGAATCCCACACCAAAGAGCACCTTGACACACAAGACTGCATGGTGAGTTGGTATGGGCTACTGTACAAAACAAGGAGTAATCACTGTATGGGGCTTTGTCAAATATTCAATCCATTCGTTGAAAATAACCAGCGTTTCTATTTACAAACTACCACTTTTTAAGCAGGTCACAAGCTTTCCTCGAATTTCCCTTTCTTGCATCCATAAAACGGTCCCTAAGCATACCCGATTCTTCTACCTCACCTTTCCCAGCCATCTATTTCACCTCGCAAATGATTATGTGGCATCAAGAAGAGTTGGTAGTCATCACCTGAAGGAACACAGGTGGGTTGATGTGAGGTGAGTTGATACCTGCCTTCTCCCCATCTACTCTACTATCATAACTACAGTGCCCGACAACTCTTCTCAGAAATAAGTTCTGTCGTCTCTGCTCCAGGCAATCAAAAGCATCTCGCACCTTTTTGTGACATATGTGAAAGAGAAGAAGAGCCGTCAGTTGATGACATCCAGTTAATTCAATGTAAATGGAAACGACAACTTCCCTTCCCATTCAATGAAAATGGCAAATAACTAATTCTTGATGAATGCCAAACATGACTGAACATGCCTGACACACCAAACCCAAGTCATGCGTTGCCTTGTAGCACAGCATTATACACCTTCTCCAAACACTGCAAGTTCAACTTGAAACTGATAATCACAACTGCAAAGTGGAATAAACGTCGATTTGTGCTGCAGAAAAGCTCGAATCACATGTGTTACGTGAACAGATACCTTAACAGCTGCACTTTGTAGTAGACTAGGAATAACAATTTCAATTGTGGTTTTGGATGAAACAAGGATATGTTGAGTCACATCCACCACGTCCAACCGACATTCTGCTATGTTGGAATTCGAAGTAGGAGGAAAGTAGTAGAGAGCGCAGCATAAAGCATCGTACCATGCCTTATAATACACGTATATACAAACTACAGGATCTAACACAGAAATAAACAGTAATTTAATGCAACCAGCTACAATAGAAGGGGCATGAATAATTTGGACATCCAGTACACCGGGGTATTGGAAGTTTGAATGAAAGGGGGTATTTACATTAGACTGTGAATAAAATTGGTGATTTGAGAGAACTGTGCAGGCAAATATTGTAATTGACTGTGCTCAGCAGTGGACAGAGCATAACCACATTGACAGAGGTGTCAGAATGATGAGAAACGACATCTTTTAAAAAAAATACTTAAAATACGATACCTCCTCACCGAAATCCAGTAAGAAAAATTTCCAAAGCTCAATGGCCCTTAAGATAGGAACCATTCACAAGCGAAGATAGTCAGATGAAGTGTCGCACGGAACTTCATAAAGCGTTAGTGAACCGCTCCACGTGGTGAGGTGGACTTGACCTATAGCCGAACTGATGTATGTGCATGCTTCTATACAACATAAGCACCTAAATTCAATCTTCTCTCAAGAATCATTTGTGGAAGCAATTCTTAGTTGATTTTATGCCCACTTACTAGTGTTGAAACAGCTTTTGATAAAAAACCAATGAAGCAAAATCAGTGGCATCAGTGTGGTCAAATTGGATGGGGATGTGTGATGTTCCTCGCATCAAAACATCATCCCAAGGGGGTGCGTGTATTCAGTGGGATTTCCAGTTGCCATGTCCACACACCACGTAGAGTGTAACGATAAAGGAAGCCGGTGCATTGGTCTGGGCAAGAGATTCATTAGACTCTGCCTGCGCCTGTGTGTTTCAACTTCGACAGATGCCTCGCACGCAGATTTTGTAAGGGAAATGAGTCATGGGAAACCGATGCTGCAGCATGGCACAAATGGATATTAGGCGCCACGATGAATGGGAAGTGTTTGGTTTCATCCTCAAATTCAGCTACATAACGGCGCATCCAGCATGTGTTGTTTAGAAAGGAGCATAGATTGTACCTGTGCTTACTTCAACTGACAAAATACTTAAGAAAGCTTTCTAGAAGTTCTCCTGCAGTTAGTTTTAAAACCACTTAGACTTATTTGACTGCCGCATAAATAAATATGAAGTCAGAGGCATGAATATGGAAGGGATGCCTAATGGCTCCGGTAAGTGTCTAACATTCCTTCATTTTATCATACGATGCAGGAAATGGGAGACTGTGAAAAGGTTTTTCGCTTTCTAGAGATTTAGCTATCGCTATCACAGTTCTGTGCAAAATTGTAACTCCCCATAATCAAAAAGTACCATAAAGCGGAGGAAAGGGAGGCCACTAAGTAGGGATAGAGAAGATTGCATACTAAAAGCAAGTAGTTTCACGGTTTCACTTGAGGAGAAAGTACCTGTAGACAAAGAAATGCTTGTAATATTTGAGACTGGTGTGGTGTCGTGAGGGGGTTAACCGATTCCAGCCTGCCAGGAAGGTGTCTCCATCCTTCAATGCCTCCTCTTCTCTCACTGCGCTCTTCTCCACCTTGAGCTCTCTAGGAACCGAATACACTGGGTCCACCTGGCCCACAGCCTCTTGGAGGACAGCAGATAATTTCTCGCCTGTGGGATCTGGCAACACAGCGGTCTGTTCATTGGCGCTAATTTTGGTGGAGTCGAGGTTGGACGTTTTAAGCGTGTCGTCAGAGGCAAGAGTGGAGACGAGAGTGGGGGCTACGGAGATGGTGGTTGCTACTTCGATGTCATCGCTTTCGTCCGCCTCTATGGGAGTAAGCTCTCGCAACTGGTAATCGACCTCCGAGATGAACGAAAGATGGACATTGTGGCTTACGCCTGAGCATCCCTTCCACCTTTAAACGATGGTTGGAGTTTTGCAGCAGATCGGATTAAGGATGAGTGTAAAGACATTCAAGACTGACATCTAAGGATTGCAATGCGTTTAAGAGCGTAGGTACTGGTGTTTGTTTCTCAGAACTACTTTTCTTAAGAAAACACGTTCATGACTGACATTGGAAGATGGCGCTGCATTTTGCAACATGGAGACCGGTAACCTTTAGAGCATGAAGGCGTCTACTATATTTAGGGAGGTCTGCAAGGAAACATAATGGAAGAGCTATCGAAACTATGGTCATTTCCGCAGTCCGTTTCTGGTGACGGGGTTCGAAATAATGCTGCGTATGATGGCAGCGACACCGGACTAGAAGAGGTTATAAGCGACCGTTGAGGAGCCGAGAATAAATGCATCTTCACACGATTAAAGAGGATCACAGAGGCTGCTGAGAAGCGGTAAAATTGGAATGGATGCACACTGTAGGCCAACCAAGTTATCTCAACTGACGTGCTTCGTTACCACTTCTGCTCTCAAACGAATTACGTTTTCAGCGATAGCGGATGCAGACATTGCAATGGCTTTTAATGTTGTCATCAAATTGTGCATCGAAAAGCAGAAGCACCTTCCATACTCCCATCTGAATTATTTACATAACTGATTTAGGGAAGGAACGCTTGTTAAAAATAACAAGATGCACATTTTAGACGCATGGCTACTTTTGCGCGAGATCTTAAAAATGTCGCTGTCTGTGCCAACACAGTTGGAAAGAAATTAGGGCATGGAAGGCAAATGTCCTTCTGATTATGCGACATCCTTCCTATGCATATTTTCAAGGGCCCAGGCAGCAGGCGACACATGTTTATAGAACTGATTCCAAAATCATACCTAGTTTTGTGAAGCACAACAGCGGGATGAACAAAAATAGAAGTCTACTGACGAGTAGATAGAGACTTGAGGTCAACCAAGGTTTAGACAAAGGCACCTCTCCGCACACACTCCCCGCCAGTCACGCTTAGCAAACTTGAATGGAACTAGTAGAAGTTCCGCAACGACGACAAACGGAGGCGTGTGATACTACCTGAAAAGCGCAATGCGCGGCAAACGTTCACAGAGAAGCATTGATGATGAGTATTGTACACATCAAATACATGTAGTTTGAATGCTACGTTCTGCTCACCGCACTTGCATTGAACAGGTTTATTAACAGAGGTGCATTTTTAATTCCTGACATCGAGCAAGTGTATTGCTCGATATTTGTTGCGATTCCTCATTGACTACCCATTTTTTGTAACAGAAACAAAAAAATCCGTAAGGTCCAATTCCAACTGGTCGGTATTTCGAGCTGATTGACCATGACAGTGGTAACGGCGAAAAACAGTATCAACTATGCGGAAGGGTCAACTGATGCGTGCCTTTACCATGGTTGCAATGTGTAGATGGACACACATAGCCTAAAGTGGATTTACCGTCACAATATTGCATGGTACGTGAAGCAGCTGTCCAAGGCATCCACAAATAAGTTCACTTAAATATCTAGAAGCATAATTACGCCTTTGATGAAGTGCGGGTTAATCCTAAAATGTA